AAGTCCATTACTTCACTGCTTCAGCCGAGATGACTGTTCCTAGGTGTGTCAATGTCAATAAATCAAAATAAGCAAATGCTAAAAGCACAAGAAGCTCTTTAAACTTTGATGAAGGCTTTTAGTTACATTTTTAAACTTACACTCATAACTGGAATCTTTTTTTTTTTTTTTTAAATTGTCACTCCCTGGTAGTGATAGACTGTCAGGTTTCCAGTCATTTCCTCATCCGACGTGCCAGGGAAGGTGGAACTCCAAGTGTCATTTGCACAAGTTCTGGCTGAGAGGAGGTGGAGGAGGTGTGAAGGGAGGCGAGGGGAGGGCTGGTCAGACGGAAGGTCTTTCTTTGCCTCGTGAGAGAGAGGCGAAGGGAGCAATAGGAAGGAAACAGACAGGACAGGAAGAAGCATCATAGAATCTGGGACTCCATCATCCCCAACACGCTAACTTGACCCGTCATCCACTGCGTATGGATCATCTGGGGAAAAAAAAGGTGTGAGCTTTTGTTCCTATGTCTTTGTAATGGCAGCTGGGGCCACCAGGAACAGTTGTGGATTCTGGGACTCTTTTCCTAACTCAGCCGAGTGGACATGCCATTGGTGGGTCCTGCACCTGGCACTGTGGCCTCTGGGAGGGAGGGGGTACAGAAAGGCGGGAGGAGCCGAGGGGCGGCTTCGCAGTGTGCATTCTGTTACGGATTCTGAGATTTGACGAACGGGTCTATGTTCTCTGCATTTTTACTGTGAACGTGAAAGAGAGAGGGAACTTTTTTTTTCCTTCTCAGTCTGGATCTTTCTGGGCTGTGAAGTCCTTACCTTTCAATCTGGGTCCAGTGAGCAGTTGGTGGCAGCTTCCATGGGCTTTGTTGCCAGGTTCTCATGGATATTATAGACGGATGTCAAAGATCAAGGTGAGAATATTTCAGGGGCAGATGTCTCCTTTCATTTCTTGTCTCCTCCACCTACTCACTCATCTATCTACCCATTCACCCTTCCATTCACCCATCTACCCATCATTCATTCATCCACCCATTGACCCATTCACCCGTCTTTCTATCCATCCATCCACCCATCCACTCACCCATCCTTCACCCACCCACCCATCCATCCGTCAACCATTTGTTCATCCATCCATTTGTCCATCCATGCATCTACCCATCTACTTATTCATCTTCAGTGAGCCTTGCATGTAGCAGCAGGTCCTGTTGTCCAGCACACGGACAAAAGGGACAGAGAAAAGGAGCAGAGGATGGGTGTGGGGTGGGAAAAGCTAAGCTGTTTCAAGATAGGACACTTGAAAAAAAATCACAGCATTGGACTAATAGTCCTTAGACCCAGCCCCTCTCCTGCTATCCTGGGATGGCCCCCTGGGAAAATATAGAGGAAGAAGGTCAAGGTTTTGCTTCTTTGGGCACAGCCATCAACAGATTATGGTTATACTGTCCACCACACTGGCCTTCAGGTACCTTTACGCTAAGAATGTCCCTAATGACTCTCTCCTGCTAGATTTTAATTTGGTCCCTTGAAAACTGAGTTTAGTTCTGATTACCCAGCACATTGACATGTGTTAAGACACTGTTTAGACTTCAATTCAATAAATTAGGGCCCCGGCCCTTCAAAAGTGTGCACTGCTTAGAAAAAAATGGTCCTTTTAAAAGTGTCTTTTTTAAAAGAAAAACTTTCAACACTCAGTACAGGGAATACAGACTCTGCCAGCTATTCTTTCCCTTTCCTGAGAACTGAGATGCCCCATTCTAAGAGTCACAAAGCTACGATTCTAGTGTCAGCCATTTTCCCATGTGAAGGCCACCAACATCTTTTGGAAATAAAATAATTGTATTTTCTTCTTTGCATTTAAGATAATTCACACATGTTTATGCTAATACAGTTTAATAAGATGTTTCATATAAATCTCTGTTGAGAAAGTTTCTCTTTCATACCATTTTTATCAACTCAAAAAGTTGACTTTGGAGCCCAACAACAATTTTATAATTACTCTGCCAAAAAATATCCTCTACCCATTTCATGAAGCAGAACAAGTTTCCTGGTAGAGACTTAGCTTGACCGTGGAGTAGCATAAGCTGCATGGGTGCCGAGGTTGTGGACGTTTTGAAATTCTGCAAATTCTGCAGAGTTTTGAAACTGTACCATCGGCTGGGCCCACTGGGTCGGGAACACATGGTTGGTCTGTGGGGGGGGCCCTATGGGCCATTCCCATGGCCTCCCCACTTCCTGACCACGCCATAGGCTGAGCAGCTTCCCTCTGCCACACCCTTCTGCCTTGACGTCCTGCCTCATCTTGGGCCCAGAGCTGTGGAGTTGGCTTTCTATAACCATGAGCTCCAGATAAGCTTCTCCTTTTCTACACCGTTCTTGTCAGGTAGTTTGGTCCCAAGCTGACTAACACAGCTCGAATCCAGGGGACCAGTGAATCCTACAGCCCACTGGCTGGCTTTGCAGGACAAGCCCACACCACTGGCACCTCTAGGGCTGACCTCACTGTTCCCCGACTCCTGCTGTCCCTGACCTCCAGTCACCTGGCCTCCTGGGGCTCTCATTCCTGTGTGTGCTGGGCCCACCTTTCCAGGACCACTTGATTCCCTTTTGTTCCTCTCCCCTCCAAATTGCTAGATGGAAGCCCTGTCCCTGATGAACAGGCCTCCCCAAATCTACCTTCTCTACCCAATGTCCTTGTTCTGCTGTAGCTGAAGTCCAGGTCTTGGTGGTTCACTTTAGGAACAAGCTTCCCCTGTCATGTTCTAGGACGGCGTATCAGGATCAGGAGATGGTGTCTTCTCTGCTTCCTTTTTGAAGTCTACCACTGACTGCTGCAACCCCCTGGCTAGGCGAACCTTTCTCTTGTGATTTCTGGCATTTAGCCATTACCCAGACACTTTCCTCCCTCGTCAGGTGCCAGCATCTCCCCCTACATGCCACCAGACACATTGTCGTCACTGGGGGCTTCTCCATGCCTAGCATAGGTTACCTACCACTTATTGCTGAGGTCACACAGGTGACCGGCCCACCTGCTCATCTCCATAACCTGTATCTCACCCTTCTTTGGACAGCCAAGTTCCTGGCACCCCCCGGTTGAACTGTCCCTTCCTCCAGAAACAACTCTCAGATGCTGAATGGTAGAAGCATCACATTCTCTGGCCCAGTGTCCTGTCTTAGTTGTCTTCAAAGTTTTCCTCATTTAAACTCTTCCTTCTGTTTTCCTGGGATCTCCGGGTCCTGGGTGTCAATATGATCTCTTTTCCCAGCAATGTCTCCACCTTTGTTCCTCCTCCAGGTCTCCATGGACTTGTGCTTCAACCCTTCTAGCACTAGTTCTTTCATTGTTCATTTCCTACTGTGGCCACTCCCAGACCCCCAGACCTGAGTAAATCCGTCCTTCCTCCTCCTTTCCTTCCACTTGGGGTCAGTGAGGATCAATGGAGACACATCACATATTCTTTTGCAAATCGGAGACCCTACAAACACAAGGTATCATCAGGCTGAAGTGAGCGCTCAGTACTGATTGCTCCTTTTCTGAGTTTTCCTACCGAAATTTCTCTTTAGGACAGGAAACTATTTTGAGTGATTATTTCAAAGCTTCTCTATGGTTTCACAATCTTCCAGCTCCTATGTTTCCTCCTATTCTCTTCTTTCTCCCTTCATCACAGGGTTAAACCCCTTCCCACTCTCTTCTCCCCTTTACTCACATTTAGCCTCCTTCCACTCCTGTTCCCTGAGGGACAGGGCTGGAGGGATTCTCTCTTTCTCTCCTATATTGTGACTTGCTCTGCTCCTTCCTTTCAACAATTAACAATTAAATAGACTTAAATATCTTCCAAATAAATAAATAAATAAATAACTCTCCTTTTGCCCTATAACCATCTAAGTTTCTGACCTAGTTTTCTCTTCTTTCTGTCCCCACTTCCTTCCTCTCCATTCATTCTTTAACTCAACTATGGTTGGACTTCTGAGTCCTTCATCCCTGGGAAAATCCCCTCGCCAACATGGTCAGTGCGCTAAGAGGCTGTCCAATTCTTAGATAACCTGATTTTTTTTGCATTAGCACAAGGTTATAACAACCTGAAAGTTTGACTTAGCAGACACCGGACACCATATCCTCCTGGGATTGGGTTGTGTGTGTGTGTGTGTGTGTGTGTGTGTGTGTGTGTGTGTGAGAGAGAGAGAGAGAGAGAGAGAGAGAGAGAGACACCATCCTTCTTCATAGACTTCTTACTATCCCTCTCTCCACAAAAGAAGACTTGCTTAGGATTTTACTGCTTCCTATCTATTTTCTGTAGGCAAGCTTGACCTGACCTCTTTGCTTCAAATATGACCTGAAATCTAAACTTTCTGGGCATTCAATCTTAGGAGCATCCCCAAGGTCAACCCTATATGTCTCCACATCCTCATCTACATTGGGTTCTTCATGTAGGGACCACCCAGAGTTCTCCTTGGGTTCCTTCTTCTCCAGTACAGCCAAATCTGTCCACTCTTGCCATTACTACTGCCATGACCCACGATCCCCACTCTCCCTTTCTCTCCCTTAACCAACACAACAGCTTTCTCTTTGCTAGCCTCCATACATCTCCCACAATGAAGCCAGAATCCTCTTGCTAATCCTAAGCAGATTCGACCTCATGGTGCGCACGCACAGGCACGGCTCCGTAGTGGCTTCATCCTTGACAGGGCTTCCAAGGACTTTCATTATGGGGCGCACTTGCCTCACTAGGGTGGGCCATCATTTTCCACCCCATAACACACGTTATACTGCCGAAACACTGAACTCATTTAGTCCCTTGAAAGTGCTAATTTTTCTCTTCTGCCTGGGACTTTGTTCCCTCTGCCTAAGATAACTTTGCCTATACGCTGACCCCTGAGCCTAAAGCTTCAGTGTTCCTCCCTCTGTGCAACCCTCCATGATATATGCCTGTACTCTTCCAGACCCAAGACCCAGAGCTTAGGGCCTTAGTTCCTTTCCTGTGTTAGCACAGTAACCAGAAATGGCAGCTTACACCACGCGACTCTGCTGTGTACACTGGTCCCCACCCCAGGAGTACAGCACTCTGTGTCATTGCAGAAGTTATATTACACTCATGCCTAGAGTTCTGGTGTGAAGCACCATGCCTGGCCCAAGTTCCCTGGATGGGTTGGGTCAGGTCGGCCAAATGCCTCAGTAATTAGCTTCCACAGTGACAGACGTGGGCAGTCACTGAAAATCAATCTCTATCCTGGGCTCTATTGTTTGGATTTAAATGTAGAACCTGAACATTTTTCAGTTTTCATTTTATTTAATTTTCTAGGACAGCTGGGTATGGGAAAGTACCTCTATATCCGCCCCCCCCAGCCCCCAATAGAAACTTATAAGTACCTAGGGTTTTATTTCTCTCTGCATGCAGCTAACTAGCTGGTAATTTCAATCTCTCAACAGATGTTTGGCCCTGCAATTGACCCAGCTGGGCTGTGCCCCAGGGCGACCAACCCT